GTCATATTTTAAAAAGAAGATGACATGTAAACAAATCTAGCCAATCAGAAACCTGGGGGTAAATTAGTAAAAACAAAAACACCTTGCTTTAAAGCTATGCTACTGAAGGTAGTTATGTAATTTCTTTAATAACCCTAAAATAGTTTAGAAATTATGAAAAAAAAAAATTCGACAGATAGTCAAATGAACATTAATAAGATTCTAATTAATACCATTGTTTACTCTACATTAAGAATTAATGATGCGCTAGTCTAAATGTGCACGGAATGGAATTTCAATTTTTTACACACTTGGAGATAGGTTCTCGTGTTTATTTCCTATATATTATTTTAGAACATATCCCAAAAGGATCTCTTGCAGTATAGATCTAAATCAATTGATTAATAATACATTTTATTAATGGTGTCACCTATACTGCAAGAGATCCAGTCAAAGTATGGCTGACTCGGATAAGGTAAATATAAGTAATAAAATTTATTAATTGTATAACTGGTACATACGTAAATTTATATCGATATTTACTTTTTCCTTTTTTAGTTATGCGATAGAAGTATTTAGAAAAAAATTCTATGCATACGTATTAATGACAAATAACAAATTTTGGCAATCGGTATTATACGTATTGGAATTTTAAAATATCAATATTTAATATATGAATATAAATATATATATTATCTTTATTATACTATAGCTATTACAAATATTAGTTATTTTAAACATTCGTTCAACCAGTTTATATTGTTAAGCATAACGTATTTCTCGTCACGTTCTCCATTTTCGGTTTTATCTTTTTTTCTATCCTTGGCACGTACTTTTACCCTTGCCCTTGCCAATGTCGACTTTCACCTAATAAAAATATAGTAGACAATTCTTAGCGTTCAAACATGTGTCATTAGAAAAAAAATTTATATTACTTTTACTTACATTTGCTTCAGCAACCAACTTTTCTGGTGCTTTTGGGCATTCATTACAAGGTGGCATATGTTCATAAGGTGGCTCACAAGGTTGTGGATGTGGTGTGCAAGGATGTTCGTATTTATTACAAGGTGGTGGGTGTTCTTCACAAGGTGGGTATTCATGACAGGGTGGTGGGTATTCATGACAAAGTGGTGGGTGTTCACAAGGTGGGTATTCATGACAAGGTGGTGGGTATTCACAAGGTGGATATTCATGACAAAGTGGGTATTCATGACAAAGTGGGTGTTCATGACAAAGTGGGTGTTCGTGACAAGGTGGGTATTCGTGACAAGGTGGGTATTCGTGACATTCATCACAAAGTGGTGGTTGTATGCATTCATGACAGTGCGATTGTGGACATTCTAAATATTGCGATAGTATTTTATCTATAAGTCCGGTGCGTCTTTCATATCTATTAGGTTTAGTTGATCTTTCTCCATTTTGAGCTTCACGTTTCATTCCCCTCATGTTATGTTCTTCAAGTGGATTGCATTCTCTTGCCATACAAAGTGGAGGGTAACGACGAGTGGGCTTCTGGTACGATCTTACTCCTAGCAATTCATCGCGACAAATATCTAGAATTCCTTGTGCAAGCAGAGTTTCGGTGAAAAATATAGAACATAAGGTCAAAATGATACCAAATTGAACAAAATTTAACTTTGCCATTTAAGAAAAGAGACAGTGTAAAAGCGATATTAAAAAAAAATAAAGAATTAATGGCTGAATTCCATTAAAAATTCTGGGTTGTAGTTCACAATAAATACCAATTTATTCATAATCGTATAACACATTATGTCGATGTAATCACTTAGATCATGATGATACTTTGTGATGCATGACACTTTTATCGCTGATATTATGGAATGAAATTAATGCAGATGAAAACAATTAGTATACTTGATTTTGTGTTATCATATGCAATAGCTTCCGCAGATTATAGTCTTTGATTACTGTTAGGTAGGGTTTGCAATGGGCCGGGTTTGCCTAAACCCATACCCGGCCCGTTAAATTATAGCTGTTTTCATAATTCCTGGGACACCTGTAAAAAATTAGCCGAATGATTTTCGGCCGATCCGGTTAATTTATTATT